AGCGTTTTGCAAGCTTTGGTTCTACAGAGGCTGGTCTTCGTTCCGAAGACCTATTCGACGGCGTTTGGGTGGTTGATTTCTATCGCACAAGGGACAGAGGGAGGGGTCTATTTCTTTCATCCCGGGAGAAGTTTATGAGATGTCGTGACTTGGTGGCATCCAGACGTTCCGTTCAGTTGCTAAAACAGTACCATATTAAAAGAACTGTTAGATCATATCGTGTGCGAATATAGGTGCAGGGAGATCAACAAAATACACTTCTATTTCTAGCTGTAGCATGCGCACCTCAGCTATGTCTACCTAAACGATCACCCAAACTCTTGGGTCCTCTTCTAGATGGTTTTTTTTCATATGGGAAATAGGATCGGGCAATCTAGTCATGGTTAGGTCGTGCATACACCTGCTTGCCTGCCACCCATGTCTCCTTAACTTTTAGGGTGCGTAAATCATCTATATCGTAAGACTCAATAGGTTTATCAAGGACAACCCAATCAGCCAAAGCGCCGTCGCGGATGACACCAGCGCGAGTATCAAGAAAGGCTCCATAAGCAGGAGCTCGCGTGAATCCCCACATCGCTTCATCTAAGCTCAATGCCTCTTCTGTGTGCCAGCCATCGGGGCTATCGTCTGTTCCACGACCCGTATGCGGGCTTCGACGGGTTACGGCGGCGTAGATGCCCTGGAATGGGTTGGGGGGCTCAACAGGAAAATCGCTACCCAGAATCGGATGGGCAGAAAGAACAGAACGCATCCGGTAGGCGGAGGACGATAGACGGTCTTTACCAAGCCGAGCAAGAGCATACTTCATGTCTGATGTTGCATGTGTGGGTTGAATAGAGGGAATGATGCCGACTTCTCGAATCCGTCGCTGGTCATCTGGATGGATTATTTGGGCGTGCTCAATGCGAAAGCGATGGCGAGCTTGACAGGCAGCACGCGCTTCAATCTGATCATGGGCGGACTGGTCCGGAGTCGAAGGGTGTGCACCTTGGGCAGTAGCCTCATGAAGGCACTGCTGGACAAGAGCCGCCTCAAGAGCGTCCACAGCGTTACGGTTGGCAAGATCGCCGATAGCATGGATATTGACTTGGTATCCGTCGGCAGCCCAGCGCTTGGTCACATCAGTAAGAGCAGAGGCGTTGATAAGAAGCGAGCCTGATGTCCACGGGTGGTCGGAGTATGGCTCGAGCATGGCGCTGCCCCAACTTCCGAGAGCGCCATCTGGCTGAGGTTAATCACTACCTTGGGTAGTTTTGATGGAGACACGTACCCGCAAATAGCTTGACACTCTGAACTGCAAAGCGATCATCGTCTCGGGCGAACTTGACAGCTTCCTCTGGGCAGTACGAGTTACGCTGAGGACATTCCAACATTGCATAGACACGAAGGGTCCAGTCGTCTCCTGAAGAGAGCTCGTTGTAGAGATTCAAAGTATCTGGAGTTGCTCCAGCATCGTGCATGCCAACAAGACCAACCTCGTTAAGGCGCTTCATGGCGGTCTTGACTGTACGAGCCTTAAAGTCCCGGCCAGGCTGAGGCCAAATTGAGATGACCAGGTCCATGGCGTTATCGCAGAAGACACCGAGGCCAGGGTCGCGAATGATCTCACCTCCCGGGACAGCGTCAGGGAGGTCCGATGGGAGGAGATCGAGCACAGGCTGGGAAACCCAAGTGCAGTGAACATCAATGCGATCAAGCATAAGATAGATGCCGCTGAGCTCTGTATCCTGCGTTATATCTGCCTATGAAACCTGTTAGTGTATGGCGGGAAGCTAACAGATATGAGTGTCTTACAGCTGTGGGCATACGTCCAAAAAAGGTCTGATCCCATCCAACTCCGCGAACCCAATTGTCTTTCGATCCGGCCCCAGGGTTAGCAGAGATGTAGTCTTTGATCCTCGTACGGACTTCCGCGAGAGATTGGGCACCGAACAGATCAACAGAGTGGAGGAACTCCCCGTACTGGAGCAAGTGACCATGTCCATCCCAGAGTCCTGGAATCACATAACCATCTATCACGGGCTGATCAGCGTCTCGTGGACCAACAGCAGTAAAGACGCCATCCGCAACAGTGAAACATTGAGCCTCAGCCTGCTCAGGGTCATGTGTTCGGATGGAATTGTAACAAAACGTTGCGGATTCTCCCTCGCCCGAAACTGTGAGTGGCTGTTGAAGACGGTACGCAACTGCAAAAGCGACAACTATGAGGGGCAGGACGAGTCCCCATCTGATCACAGAGGCTGTGACAGCCATCGTCGAACACTTGGCTTATAGCTGAACTGCTACTCCTGATGTAAGTAGCAGAGCCTAGTTGTGTAAAGGCATTGGATCTGTTAGAGATGGCGGAGCCATGATTTGATAGCTGCGTGTTATCGATAAGAATTTCGGTGATCTTTGTGGGGGAAGCTGCATGATACGCGGGAAGAGGTTTTCGTCTCAAGGATTGATTTAGATAGTGCGCATCATAGAAAAGAAAACATTATTTCTCTATAAAATATATTCGCCTGGAATTATAGGACATGAGGTGTCTTGCTACGGTCAACTTTACGATGAGATTTGTGTCAGCCAGGGACCCTTACCCAATTGCATCTTGATCGCGAGCTTACCCCAGAGTCATAGCTCTCCACATTAGACTAATTCGTACCTTAATTGAATCACCAACCAGATTCTCTTAAGCTCTGATTGATTTTACAACTGTTGACCCATGCAATATACTTTTAAGGATACACAAGTCCTGCGAATAGCAGTTCTATGGCTCGCTCTCAAACATCTAGCTCCACTGGTCTTCAAACAATAGGAAATAGAGACTTGGTGTCACTGTTTGTGATGACTTGCAATAACTACTGGCTGAATACGGCAAAAAGGATGCTGCCGTGGCTGGTACACTGAATAAGCAGCCTATCTGCATATCTATATCTCTGGATTCCTATCTAGAATTGCCTATATAACCGCATGGCACTGGCAGACTTGATCCGACAGTGTCGGCTTGACTTTTCGGAGGCTTCCTATCCATCTACCCCTATCACATCAGCAACAACAGTAACGATAACTTCCATCCTAACAATCTGGCCATCTATTAACAAGAGAATAATAAGCCCAACCATGGCTCTCGCGCGAGCTGAACTCGAGTCCATCACGGCTGTTCACGTTCGAGAGCCCCTTCCGGCCGACACCCTCACGGCCGCCTTCAACTCCAAACCTTTCATCTCTAATGAATCGATCATCAACCTCCGCGATCTAGGTGCTGTTCCTGGCAGCGCCATACGCCCTGGCCATATCTTCCGCTCTGGTATGCTTGACACCGCCGCTGACGACCCAGAAGCCATGGCCTGGCTGACTGCCAACGTCAAGACTGTTTTTGATCTTCGCAGCAAGGAAGAGCGAGCTACGTATCCCAGTCCAAGAATAACCGGTGTCAAGTTTGTCTTCTGCGAGCGCGTTGCTGAATACCCCCAGCCTAGTCCCGCTGACTTTGCTGTTGATGACGGCAGAACTGCTTGGAGGGAGCAGCTGATGGCTGTCATAGCGGCGTACAAACCCTCTATCCGAGCAATCCTCGAACACGTGAGGGACAAACCGAACGAGCCCTTTCTCTTTCACTGCACTGGTAGGAAATCCAGGTTTATGTTCAAAGGGTTGTGAAACTAATCGTCAAACTGAGCTATAGCTGGCCGTGACCGCACGGGCGTCATGGCAGGGCTCCTGCAGACCCTTGCTGGCACAAGCCAACAAGACGTCATCTTCGATTACATGCTATCGCGGATTGGTATCGAGCCAGCCCGCGAGCGTCTACTCTTGTTCATATTGGCAAACATTGACGTCAAGAGCGCTGAGGAGCCTGGCTTTTGGAACATGGTTAGCCTACGCCCGAGCTTTTGGGAGGCTTTTGGTCAAGGTGTCGAAGCCGAGCATGGGGGATGGGATGGCTACGTGAAGGGTCTTGGGTTCTCAACCAAGGACCTGGAGACAATCAAGCATAACTTGCGGGCTTGACGATGTTATGGCCGATGCTATTCCCTGAAGGCAGGGCAGAATCGTATTGGAAATGGTTCAAGTTGGCTGAAATGAGGGTTTCTCCTGTACAGTGAGTGTTATGATCTCTATTGCGTCTGGGTAGGATACGTCGAGTTGACCACATATATGGTTCGATATCGCGACCTGAGGGACCTGGGGAGGCAATAGAAGATGAGAATATTGGATATTCCCTTGTATGTAGGTCGTCCTGTCATGGTTGATCCTGCTACCCATCTCGATCTTGCTCATCAACATCATCATCTTCGTCGTCATTTCTTCTCAATTTCTCACTTGCGTGGACATAGACGCAATCATAACCAACTTCAACATACTCATCGTCTCTCAGCTTTGCAAAACCAAGACTGAGTGCCTTATCCACAAAAACTCCCTAATTCATCTGCAGCCCTATGACATCACATCCACCGCTAAGGTCCCTGTCTGGGAACCCGTTGGACCCTGCATCTTGAGCAAGGGTCTACCTACTACTCCATACTCCGTACCCGCCTACCAATTAAACTCCATTGCATCCCATCTAGTGACGTTTCAGTACATCTTCAAAACGTCAATTCCGCCACTGTCCTGTAGACCAAGAGCCGATTCGTTCCCAACGTGTTCTGTATTTCCAAGTTTTGCTCCTCATCAAGGGTCTGTCTTTTGGCCATTCCCTCTCTCAGGGATCAAGTTAGAGGTAGTTAATAGTGGTATCAACTCTTTTGGATCTGCATACAACCAAATCTGCTGACCAGGTTTCCCTATCTATTTCATCAATGATCGTAATAGGTGATGCAATAATTCTTGGCCAAGCATGGTTCCATGCTCAAGCACGCTATGTTGCGCAACCATCCAAATGTATATATAATATCTCGTTGCAGCCATTTCTCAGTATCTATATTATAATCATCAACACCACAAGACACAAAAGCACAAACATTAGCACAAACATTAGCACACACACATTAACTCCCACATTCAATCTACCATTCAATATGCCTCTCACACGAACTCACCGTCACACCGCTCCCCGTCGCTCCATCTTCAGCACCCGTCGCCGTGCTCCGGCCCATTCTCATCGCCATACAACAACCACCACAACCACAAAGCCCCGTCGCCGCGGCATGTTTGGTGGCGGTGCTAGTCGACGAACTCATGCTACGGCCACTGCACCTGTTCATCACCACCAGCGCCGACCTTCCATGAAGGACAAGGTCAGCGGTGCCCTCCTCAAGCTCAAGGGTAGTTTGACTCGCCGACCTGGCGTCAAGGTATGTTCATTCTAACTGCTCTCGGATCCACGCTATGCTAATGTCATTAAAGGCTGCTGGCACTCGACGCATGCGCGGTACCGATGGTCGTGGTGCGCGCCACCACCGCTATTAAACGTCTCAAGTAACTTCAATTGTTATGTCATCAAATAGACCGAGGATAAGGGGAGCCCCGGAAGTCGAAAGGAGTATGGAATCACGGACTTTGCACTTATACACAAACATGTACGATTGTTAGCATTGATACCCTCATTGGGAGTTGAGGATAATAGTATGATTTGTTATGCGGCTATACACAAGCATAAATCTGTACTGCCGCTGCCGGTGACTTTATCTATCACAATCTCGCAGCTCGTCACAACCACATAGCCTGCCGGCTTTCTCGCAATCAATATAAGAATGGTTGCTGTCGATTTTGCCTCTTCGCTGACTACAAATTGTGCCCGTATTCCCATGGGCCTCCATCACCTGCAGTAATTTCAGATCAATGCAAAGGTTCACTGGCTATCGCCGGGTTCCCCAAACTTGCTAATGTAACTCGTCCACCTCAGAAGGAGAAACACCAGCTGGACGATAAGGGGGTGCCAACCGGATATCCTTGCACAACTTGACCGAGTTTTGTGGCATGTGAGGGCTTCGTACCAACTGGAGCATAGATGTTGAGGAGCCTCGGCGGTGGTGAACTTTTCCGCACAATGGGTCAACCAGCTCGTCAATAGTGGTGACCGACAGACGAGCTAAGCTCAACCTTCTCCTTTCACACGCCCTTAGGGAAAGGCTTGCGTCCATAGATTCCATTATAAGCTCATCCATATCGTGCTTGACAGGCTCCGAGACACGAACATGAGTGTACTGCTGAATTTGGAGCTCCAACTTTTCTAGAGCTTCTTTGCTGGGTGACGGGTGTTTCTTCATCCTGCTAGAGGTATGTAAGTCTCTCTTCGCTTTCTCCGAGACTTGTCGAGCTTGACTGGCCGGATTAGCCAACATATCGTCACTAGGGTCTAAAAGCTTATGACTTGGAAAGTGGTGTTCTCTGATTTCTTTTTGGCCAGTAGTCGATAAAGATCCCGTTTTCTTATTGCAATGCTTTACTGGTATGTGCATATCGCCGTCCGAGGAGCAGCAACCACTGCTCGACGTTGATGGCCGCTCAACTAGAATCCGAGGGGTTGAAGATCCGACTGGTGCACTGTTCAAGAACCTATCTTCAATGTTGTCGTCGAATCCCTTCTCGGATTCGAATGGATTGCAAAGCGAAGAGGGAGGCGTCTTTGGACCATTGTTTGACCCTTGATTCAGCCGGTTTTCGAAATATGTTAAAGCTCGCTTGTCAGCTCGTTCAGAGAATGGATCCTCCACAAGATTTCCATTTCTGAGGGACTTTCCATCGTCTGCCAACGGTTTTCTGTTAACCCGACCTCCAACGATTTGCTGGACTTTACTTTTATTGAGGTTATCCCCTTCATTCAATCGGAGCTCAATGTTGCTGATCGGAGAAGCGTCCTCAGTTGATGCATGTGAGCGAGGAGTAGGAACAACGCTCTCTCGAATCCACCTATCACCTTGTTCATCGCCTGAGTGGGAGAAGGCCGGAGCCTGTTTTTCCTCGCGATTCGCCGCTTTTGGATGGAAGCGATCCCAAGCATTTGAGACCTTTGCACGTACTTTCGACGGTACCATACGCGTGAATCTTGAGGTCGAACAGTTGGCCTGCTGTGGCGAAGGCTTGAGTGCATTGGTAGCGGCCAGCATAGCGGCCAGTTTTCCCGTAATTTCTTCACCAGCACACCGGTCTTGGATGCGAGGAATCTGAAATCCTTCTACAATGCGAGAAATCGCGTTGTTGTCACAGGTATCGAGCGCCACAGGTGTCGCCGCTGCGATGTCTTTCGTAGGGTGAAACTTGAGGGGGTCATAAGACAGCGATCTCGTAGGGACATGGCGGCGTTGTAAGCTTGAACTTAGTCGCTTTTGTGGTGTATCCCTCTGTCTACCAGTCGTGGCAGCTCGTCTAGGAACTCTTCCCATGGCTTTCGATGGCGAGTGCTTACCCATGCGGGAGGCTCGAGGGCGAGTTTCTAAAGATCTGAGTGGTGTTTTGATAGGTGAAGGGAAATGCAGTGGCGAGATAGCTTGATTGCTATCAATCGAAACCGAGTTCCTCGGTGTAGTGGTCCGCCGCTTTTTTGGAGACAGGTCATCTTCTTCACTGGAGAAGCGTTCGGGTGTGGAATCGTCTAGTAACCAGCTTGCCATTTCATCCGCAGTTTGCGGATCAACCATTGCTCTCTTCCGGGATGCTTGCTTAGGGGAATTGTTTGTATGGAACTCTGCTTCCGAAACAGTTAGAGGTTTATCAGGGAAGACATGTGGGATATCATACGCAGCCGATCAGGCAGTAAAGGTTTTGGTATGGATCTTTGGCGACGTGTTCCCAGCGTCCTCAGGATATTTCTATTTCTCTTCTTGCCGTATGTGATGGCAGCTGGCATCGTTGGTATTTGATGTGATTAGAGTGTAACGAGTGAGAAGAAGCGAATCAATGGCTCTATCCAGCGGTGATGAGTTGGAAAATTGGCTGTTATCAACTCAGTCCATCCGTTGAGTGTGAGGAGAAACCGGAGGATTCGCAAGAGGACAGTTTGTCGAAATAGGGTTGGAATCCTTTATCTGAAATATGTCACTCGAACACCTTCATTTTTATGCCAAAATGGACTCGTCAGGTCCAAGTACAGGAATTTAGTCGAGAAATGAGGTTGCAAGAGTTTGATTGTGAGAGCTGAAAGATGAGTGAGTGGACGAGCCGGCAAAGAATGAGAGAGGAAGGTTCACTTCATATACCATGCCTAGGAGGTAGGTCCCTAAGTTGGTGCCTTACCTCACTCACATACCTAAGTACCTAGGTAGGTAGGTATGCCAGCAAATGAAGTTAGAATTACAAGAAGGTACCTTGAGTTTGGCCTAGGAGCTGCTTGGAGAAGAGTCGGGTAATTAGGTCAAGTAAAATAATATAGTAGGTACCGACCGAGAGTCGATAGCACTGCCAAGCAGTGCTCGTCGCAACAGTTGCCCGTGGCTTCTTCAGGCAACTTCCTTGTATTGGACACGGAATTGACCTGTGCCCAAGGTAGGCAGGCAGGTATGCAGATGTCTTTGTATACCTACCTATCTTAACGTGGAGATGGCGATCCAAATAGGAATTCCTGTGATACCTCTATGTGTAGTCGACGAGAGTAAAACCACGCTCCCTCCATATTGGTGAGCAGCCATTTGCAGCACCATCACACAACAGCCGTCATACGCCAAGATGCAAAGTACTATGACGCCTCTTCGCTCTTTCTCGGACAGAGTTCAATATGAAGGCCACCGTGAAATGTTGCACTGCAGATTATGTTCTAGATGCGATTTGACGATTAGTACTAACTCAAAGCCATGCTACCCCTGACTTACATCAAGCGACTCGGAAGGCGAGAAATGTTTAATGACAAGAGATTCCCATCATGGAACCGAGAAGACGAGGCCTCCAAAACACAAAGGATTTACGGACTCAATTTTAGCTTGTGTTCACAAGTGTCCAAGGAAGCCAAATGCTGGATTATTCCCAGTTGTATGTTATATTCACCAATCACTTTGGTATATTTTCGATGATACCGCAATATAGCTGCATAATAAAATATGGAAAAGGTAAAAAGGATCTTTTACACAGCCGTCAGCTTCAGAATTAGGCAATCATAGCTTGAGACAGGTCCCATTGTTCGGCTCGTACAACTTGGTAACCTCATCCTAAAAACTGGCCCGAGACTTGGGAGCTCAGACAATGTACTCGAGTCCATGGAGCTTCGCAAAGTCTCTGAAGGCTTTATTCACCCGAAACACTGTTTCAAGATAAGTCACTTGCTTTACAGATTGAAGGATGGTTGTGGTGAGAAGATCTCAGTTGTTGTTAGCTGCCTAGGTAGCCTACATGAGCGAGAGGAAACACGTGATACCACAGCCACGAAAGCGACTTGTGGCTTAATCTAGACATGATCGTGGCGCAATTTCGCATCATCGTCACCTCGCCAAACCTCCAGAAATTTCTCTCGAACGACGGGTCGCCGGCTACCAAACGAGTTCGGGAGAAAACGGCAAGATAACCTGATTACGGTTTGCAATTTCATTATCAAGAGTCACGATGTTCTGATTATGAATCTGGCTGGTTTTACGCATCTTATAATTCCTTGAATCCAACACATTAAATCCGAAAGCTCCGACCACTTACGATTAATTATCGCCTCTCATCCGTTTCGACCGATCACGAAGTTTCTCAGCCACGCTCTCTTCGACTGTAAACCTACGACCCAGGAGGACATTGGATTCTGTGACTCAAGCGACCTCATTCGATAATCATGTTAAGACAACCTGTTCGCGGCGTGCGTGCGCCTTTGCGGGCCTTCAGCCAACCAGCTCAACAGGCAGCCTGGAATGGCGCATGGACGAGACTCTTTACATCACAGTCGCAAAACAAGACCGCGCGGCAGCTTTTGAGATGGAAGACCATCCCTTGGGATAGTGTGATGGCCAGGCTGAGGAGCGCTCGCTTCGGGATCGGCTCTACAACAACACCAGGCATGCTCCAAGGCGTTTTAAGGCGTGGTTTTCGATTTACCACAAAGCGCAAGACAAACAAGAAGTCGACCATTGGCGAGGCCGAGGAACCAAAAGGCCTCACCGCCAAACTCAAGAAGCTTACAAAGGAATACGGCTGGGTGACCGTTGGCGTTTACCTCGGGCTGACCGTTCTCGACTTCCCATTCTGCTTCCTGTTTGTTAGAATGGTCGGTGCTGATAAAATCGGTAAGACATTGCCGCGGCCTCACCTAGATCCGTCAACGAGGTCATGCGGACCTTTATTCTCAGTGGGTTGCTAACTGATGCCGCCGGCGCAACTTAGGCGAGGTCGAACATCGTGTGATGTCGTCAATCAAGCAGATGATCCCCGATACTGTTCGGGAGGCCTGGCACACCTACTGGCAGTCGTTCAAGAAGGCTGAGGCGAGAGCACTTGGCGATGACGATATCAGTGACAAGATGGAGATGGCCACATGGGGTGTCGAGAAGGCTGAGGAACGC